TTTCCGAGGCACGGGGTGAAACAACTTCATCCAAATTCCTGACTCCGGGCAGCTACTGATAATTTCTTGATATGGACCTCATTATCAGCAACCGCTTTTACGAGCACTAGACCTACGAAGCAGTCAATCGAATCGATTGAGATTGAGATCCAATTTAATTATACTGAACACTGTCAAAGACTTGGACGTCATTTTTGAACGAAACCATTTTCCACGAGTCGTTACGCATGTTAGATTTTGTTCTTCGTAGCTCTGACGATTATAAAAATATCAGCATAGTAAGAAATATTTTTATCGCATGGTTTGTAGTGGCCGGAAGCGACTGCTTTTGAATGGCATCCATATAAAAGCACCAATGCACTTTTGTTTGAGAAAGTACCAAATATTTACTTTAAGTTACTTTATAAGCGGAGTTATGGGCAGTATCCATTCATGTGCTCGACTAAATTGTTACATTACCTATTCTTATATTCCTCTGACTGATAACGTAATAGTTGAATTATATTTGATACTCATTTAACATAACATCAAAGTGGACAGAGCACTATGCTATCAAAAAATTTTGATAAGCCTATTTTCATAATTGGTTATCGATCTTAACTCTTGATATTAACATAATAATCACTTTGATAAATTACTTTTTTTCGTTTTCCTCCTTGACTATACGATCAATCAATGGAATGCTGGATGATAATGCTTTTTTGTTAATTCACCTATACTTTGGCTGTATGTGAGAACCAAATATTTAATATATAAATGTTGTTTTTTCGTCTTAATTTGAACGTGGTAAAGCTACACTGCAGTTATATATTATGGTTGTAAAACGAATGGCTCGGCTCTACCGGGAAAGAACCACGCTCTCACTGAATACCAGCTTAGAATAGCAGCTCAATGCTGCTGTGTTTCACATGATGAGTGTAGAGAACTGGAGACTCCTTTTTACTGGAAACGAGGCATTCCATCTTATTCCTCAGGGGTGACTACAACTACCTCCAAATCAATTCTTAATCGATCATAAATGTAGACGTCTATGGGCCGCAGCATAAAATTACCATCAGCTGATACTGTATGCTCCTTTGTCACTCTTATCTATACAAATAAATAAAATTAAACTTTGTGTTTATAATCTCAAAATAACAGCTCTGTAGTAAATTCAATTTTCCCGTGTAATGGCGGGTAAGAATACCCACTACCCCATATCTTCCTGTGGCTGTCGTAAGAGGCTAAAGAGGGAAACTGAGACAGAAGATGGGCAGCAGCATCTTTCTGATAACAGCAAATTACAATAAAAAATTTGCGGTTACCAACGCGCTTGCCAACCGTGGCAACTATGGCAGTATAGCCATGATGAGAATTAAAAAAGACGGCCCCCAGTCCCCGGCGGCCCCGCTATTCCTGGCTGCGGTGGCGATCATGATAACGACGGGGCAGGGGGTGCTAAGAATCTCCAGTGGAGGTTCGGTTGCCACCTTAGACAACTCGACCTGGCATATAACGCATGCACCCTGAGGACTGACGAGAAGATCCTGGAGCTGGAAGAAGAGCTAAACCAGTTGCGCTGGAATATTATAGGAATATTTAAGGTCCGAAGAGAGGGAGAAGACACTGTAATCCTCGAATCCGGCAACTTATTCTATCACTGGGAGGGCGACCATCTGTCCCAAGGAGGTGTGGGATTTATCGTCCACAAGTCTCTCGTTAACAACGTAGTAAAGATTGTTAATGTGTCCGATGAGCGTTGCGTACTTTATACTCAGAATTATCAAACGGTATTCGCTAAAGGTCATACAGGTTTACGCACCAAACTTGGCAGATTCCAATGCGAAGGTGGAGGAAATATATGTGGATATCTCTAAAGCTATGCATTCCTAGAAAACCCACTATACGGTGTTAATGGGAGACTTCAACGCAAAACTAGGCACAAGAAAGAACGGTGTGCTGAACGTAGGAAATTTGGAATAGAACAACGGACTCCAAGGGGCTAGCAGCTGGCTGACATCATTGAGAAAGAGGGACACTTTCTGATGTACTCTTTCTTCCAGAAGCGGCCTCACATAAATCGGACCTGGTCGAGCCCCGACGGTTCGACAAAAAATGAGATTGACTTCATTATAACGATTAGCCGGCAACGGTTCAGCGATGTCTCGTTGATCGCGAGGATGAAAACTGGTAGCGATCACCTAACGTATAGAGTTATGAACCTAAACGTTAAGTTGGAGAGGTCTCGTCTAATGAAGTCAACGTTCCATCCCCCTCGTGCTCTAATCCAAAGTCCCGAAACCATTCAGCTCAAGTTATAAAACCATTTTCAGTACCTAGAAGACTGAAATTGACTGAAAATTGCAAAGCAGACGATATGAATGATAAGCACGTGGAAACTGTCCATGCGGCCGCAGAAGCATACAAAATCTCTCCGATCACACTCTTAAACTCATGGCTGTTAGACGGGAAATGAAGCTGCAGTCTTCAACAGATTTGACAGCATATAGGCAACTGAGCAGACAGATCTCAAAATGCACACGGCGTACTTACACAAATTTAATACTGCTCGTATTGATGAAGCAATCGAGCGGAACTAGGGCTTCAAAGTCTTTGCCAGAGATTTTCTGCCATAAAGAGAGAACTGTCGAAGCTGAAGACTGAATCAACATCGATCCGGGACACCTTAGATTTTGAGTGAGATTGAGAGATTATATTGGCTGTACACGTCATCGTTGGAGGCGCACGCATGTGTGAGTAACGATCCAAGAGCAAGTCTTTTTCGACACTTCCGATGATATCTCAGACATCAGTCTAAGCGAGATTAGACTCTGGCTCTCAAGCACTTACACAAACAACACAAATACAATACAAACACAACACAAACACACAACACTCTAAACACGGCAAGTCCCCGAGCGAGGATGGAATTACAGCGGAGCTTCTGAACGCGGGTAAAAAATTCCATCCATCCTCCATGGTGGCACTACTCCGACAATTGCGAACAACAAACAACCGATTACTACGGTGACAATACTCTCAAATAATGATCTACAGACCGATTTTCCTTCTGAGACGCATCTACGTATTGTTTTCGAGAGTCATTAAGAATCGTCTCGCACGCAGACACGACAACTTTCAGCTACCTGAGCAAGCTGGTTTTCGAAGAGGCTTTAGTACCATAGACCACAAACATACCCTTCGGCAAATTGTACAGAAGACATAAGAGTACAATCTGCCACTTTGCCTTGTGTATATAGACTATGAGAAAGCTTTTGATTCTATAGAAATTTGGGTGGTTCTGCAGTCCCTTCAGCGGTGCCAAGTTGATTGTCTGTATATCGGAGTGCTGAAGTGTTCGTACAGTAGGGCTACGATGGATATCCATCGTAGCCCTACCATCTTACAGTGGCCTAGCGGCCAGGGAGGCGCCCCCCTGCTCCCATTGTCGAGCATCTGATCACCGGGTAACATCGTGCCCGAAATTATTAGGTAAGCCGGTTCCGGCGAGGCGAACTATCGCCAGGGAGCGCCGCTGGTGCTACTCGTGTCAGGATGGGCACCTCCAACGAGACTGCCCGCACCAGCGACCCTGTCCGCATTGCCGGGGTGGTCACCAAGCAGTTTTGTGCCTAAGTGCGAACGGCGTCTCCTCTCGGGGCTCTGCCCGACCCTCGACCCCCAACGGGCGGGGGCGCCCAGCCACGCCCTCTGACGGGCGATGCTTGGCGCTCGCCGGCCGGCCACCGGGCCCCTAGGTTTGAAAGGGGTCCCCCCCCCGACCAGTCGGGGGGTAATTCCCCCAGGGGCGGGGGTGTCATCGCCCCATCCTCGGCGTGTGGAGAGGAACTTCACGGCCACTCAGCAGTCCGCTAGACCCTTCTCACCCCCGTTAGCTAAGTGGCCGCGACTGGTGTACCACCGTGCCCTCTTTGATGGAGCAGCCCTAGCTAGCTGCTGCCTTAGCTCCTACCATGGCCGCCTCCATTGAGCCTTTGAGCCGTCAACAGTCCACTTGTCAAACTGTTCTATAGCTGACGGTCTCAGTGAAGGCGTACAACCCGAGTGGCGCCTGTTAGCGGTTTGCGCTCTATGGGATTCGGGTTCACGCGGTGTGGCCTCCACTTGGTGGTGGGAAGATTAGGGCTCCCCTGGAGCCTTGAATCACGCTGTCAAGGAGTATTAGATTTGGTTTGGTCAAGCAGTTGGTTAAAAAATCCTTAAATTAAAATGCTTTGGGTTTTCCGCGAAATGTTCGTATTATGGCGGTTGTGATTAAAAAGGGTGAATTTAGTATGCTCCTTGAATACGTGTGCATATGTTTTGTAAATATATTTGATCATTAGGTTTGCTTTGTTGAAAAGAAAATTGAAATTAAGTAACACTGTTTGTGCTGAAAGAAATAAAAATCAATCCTCTCTTTGTTTTCATATTTTTGTTGGCATTGTCGAAGATATTTATTTTGAAAGAAAAATAAACTTTTTTGGCCATCTCTTATGTTGGTCGGTTTGCTTAGTTTGTCTGTTTTGATCTATGCGCATCAAGAAATAAATTTATTACAGTTTGGTTTCAAGTTCTACATAGTAGATTGAGTATTAATGCTCTTGAAATTTGGTTGAAATATAAGCATAGGACTACATATCTAAAAGGTTAGCTAGTTGAGAGATTATCAGATTGAAATCAGCTACTGCACAATTAAGTAAATAGTTATATAGTAGATGGCTTGATTATGCCTACTGTTTGAAAATCTATACTAAGGACTATCTGTGCGTTTCGTTTTGGCTCTCCACAGACGACGTTCATGTGGAATTTGTGGGTGAATACTTCAAAGAATAAATTATCAAGAGTGTATGATTTGAACAATAAGCAAAATTTAATACAAATTGCAAATTAACACTAATCGTTAATCATTCAATGTCAGGACAACACGATAAGATATTGAAATAATATAAATTTGCAATGTCACAGACATAGACGCGTGTTGCATTCAACACAACACAAAAGACGGTAGGGTGGAAAGAATGTTGGGGACAGCGATATTGATGGCTTTAGCCGCTTTTGCGGCAGCTGACCAGTCACCCATTACGCTCTACTACCACGAAAATATCGGTATCCCTGAGGCAGCACGCATTCGGCGTGCAGAGCAAGCTCAAGACTTCGATGGCAGCCGCGTAGCCGGGGGCAGGCCTATTGCGCTTGGTGACCACCCCTATTTGGTATGTTAAGAATCGAATAGAATAATTTTATTTCATATCAATTACTAACTATCTCATCAGTGTTGTCATATTTATGGTAGGTAGCGCGATAAGCCGAATACACTCTGGAAAAAAATAAAATCTTCGCGATTAGATTTTATTCTCTCAGACATTTCCTCATAGCCGACTTTTATGCTTTACGAGAAACACTTCCAAATTAAAATCCACTCTTTTAATAATTTTTTTAAATAACTTTTAAACAGATGTAACGATCAATTCTGAAATCTAATCATCATTTGCATATAAAAAACGACGTCGAACCTCTTCAATATCGGTTAATGCGTTGAAGAGAAATCGATGAAGAATAATTTCTTGTGTGTATTTTCTTTTCACATAACTTTTGAATTTATTGTCAAATCGTTTTCATAATAAATTTTATTATTGTTCTTATAATACCTCGTTGATTGCCACCAATCACCTCAAATTCAGTTCTGTTCAAAAGTTATCGTTGTCAAAAAAATAACAACAAGTGTTTTTTTCAAATAATTTTAAATTTCTGCTCGGATTTGCATGAAAACAGTAGATTTTCGGGCTCAAAGAGCTCGAAAGTCTAGTGGTTCTATCCGTCCATTCCATCTATTCGTGATGGAATATTTATCAAGCGTTTTGAGATTGAATATAGCGGGAAAGTTACATGGATGACCTGCAGGGTCAACCGTATTTTTTATATATTATTTTGTTAAGTTTCGTAAAACTTTCAAGATTGTACTGTATCCCTTAATTCTGTAACAAGTGATAAAGTAACGATAAAAATTCCCAAATTTAATACTACATTTACTAATGTACCAAGCGTGCATACCAAGACAAATCTTTACAACTTGAAAAGACAAAAGTTCAGTTGTTAATACATATTTGTTTCTCAGATTAAAGTTTTAATATCTCATGTTGGAGTGAGTATGTAAATTAAGCATTATAAATAAAGGGTTTTTTATTGTACAGGCAGGTCTTTTAGTTGCATTGACAACTGGACAAACGTCTGTATGCACCGCATCACTGGTTTCAAACACGCGGCTAGTGACGGCGGCGCACTGCTGGTGGGACGGTCGCAACCAGGGCCGCCAGCTCACCGCCGTGCTTGCCTCTACCAGGCTGTTTAGCGGTGGCACTCGTGTTACCTCTAACAACGTACAGATGCACCCCAACTTCAACACAAATAACCTAAACAACGATATCGCCGTTGTCGTCATTCCGCGGGTCTCATATAACAGTCAGTATACTCAATTATTAAAATTAATTTATCAGTTTTTCTAAACTTACAAGAAAACCTACAATATTTTCAAGCTGCAAATACTTGCATTTAAAATAATATCCTTCATCAGCCTGCAAAAGTCTTTTCCTCGACATGGGACTCACCCGTGTGACAAATCCTTCATAGCAGTTGCCATAATCGTCACCCATGGCAGGTTTTTCAAGAAGGCGTGCGCGGCGCATGTTTTCAACAGTGGTAGAGCCACGCGGCAGCTTTTGCTGTCGCACGGATGGGCCGGCTCGAACTGGGATGGTACCACGACCTCACAGAAAACCAGCGTGAAGTAGAGGTTTACCTCTGCGTTTCGCTTGGTGAGTGCAGGTAGCCGGAGGCCCTTTTTACTGGAAATGAGGCATTCCATCTTAGTCCTCACGGGTGACAACGCATCTACATTTTGATTTATAATAGAGGATAGATGTAGATGTCTATGGGCCGCAGCAACCACTTACCATCAGGTGGACTGTGTGCTCGTTTGTCATCCTTATCCTATAAAAAAAATGTTCAATAAAATTCATCGTTTATTTATTACTTAACGAATGACTAACTGTCCAATTAGTTGGCTGATTAATCCATTGCAATTAAATCTTAGAAATTTGTAGCTTTGTGCGTAATTGAAACAATGAAATAGAATCTTGCCATGTCGTTTTATTCTTATCTGGTATTATTCATACGTGATATATTTCAAATAATTTTTGTTTTTGTCATTTTCTCTAGACAACATTCGCGCCATCAACCTGCCGACTCAAGCGATGCAAATACTAAACTTTGCTCACTACTTAGCTCAAGTCATCGGATATGGAGTAACCAATGATTGTAAGTTTTAAGAACAACTTTAGCTCCTTTAACGTTTAAAATATACGGACACACGACATGAGAAAGCAAAACTATTATATATGTGTATTTTTAGATAAATTAAAAAAAATGTTGAGCAAAAATATATAAAAATTCTAGAAAATATCTCCAAAAAATGATTAAATATAATACTTTTAAATTGACTACAAGTTTAAACTTATCTAAAGGACTACATTTTTTTATTAAAGAAGAAGGAGGAAATGATCATGAGGCTCACCTGATTGTAAATGACTGTTGCTGCACATGAAGAGCTGCAATGCTAAAACCTTAAATTGCAGGTGCATTGCCGACCCTTTAAATACGGCTCTTTTTTGAAGGTTCCTAAGTTTTATTAGTTTAGAAAAATCATTGGCGGCAGCCGAATCCATACAAAGAAGAGCGGGGAAAAAATTTAATTTGTTTTATTCATTTTTAAATAATAAACAAAAACTATATAAGGAATTTTACGAATTTTACATATTAAAGATAATTATAAAATTGTATTTAAAAATTTAAATACATTTTTTCTACTATCGACATTGCATGGTGAGTAACAAAATTGGACAAACTTTTTACATGTAACGAGGCATTTCATCTTTATCGTCAGGGGGTCACCTCTGTAATTTCATTTATAATTAAGGATAAAAGTATGTGTCTATGCATCATAGCATGCACTTAATATCACATAGATTGCTTACTCTATGTAGCGTCGGTGTAAGAATATCTACTACCCCATATCGTTCCGAGGGTGTCGTAAGAGGCGACAAATTGAGACAAGCCGGGAGATGGGCAGCTGTGTCTTCCTAATAATAACTAAGAATAAGTTAAGAAACTACGGTGCCCAAGCGTGGCAACTATGAAAAATGTCCCCCATATGAGACAATCTACGAGGAGACTAATTTTCAGCAATGGACTTTTGATAGTCTGTAATGATAACAGATAACTAACACTGTGAATATTAACTATCCCTTCATATTTAAGAATATCATTGAGTTACAAATCGAACTTACGACTGTATGGACTGTGCCCTAAGCGGAAGAAATATACGTGGTAGAGCCATTCTGTAGCTATAGTATAGTTGTAGCACGAATAGGTCAGCTCGAATGGGGGGACCACGCTCTCACAGAATGCCAGCGTTGATTAGCAGCATAATGGTTTTGGAAGTAGTATATGATTATAGAGAACTGGAGATTCTTGTTACTGCATTATATCTTTGTAAGGGGTCATAACGCTTCTGCATTTTGATAATTAATTGAGGATAGATGTATTTATGGTAGATTGTCTTTGGGCTACGACATCCATTCACGAGCAAATGGAGTGAGTGCTGTGTGTTTAGACTATGTGGACCATTTCCAGCGGAAGACATCACGACGTCGCAAATCGCGCGGTGGCTTAACGTGGAGATCATACGTAACGAGGCTTGCGCGACCGCGTACGGCTTCAATGTGATCGCGTCTACGATGTGCACGAGCGGGCAGGGCAACGTGGGCCCCTGCGGCGGCGACTCCGGTGGTCCACTCGCCCTCAACTTCAGCGGACAGCGTTACCTTGTTAGTATAACTTTTCATAAGTAACAGTTTACCACTGGTTCGGAAAAAACCTCGTGTGTGATGGTAAAACATTTAGCTTAATAGAATGATATAAATTGTGATGTGTTTCTTGGTTGTCAGGTTGGCGTAACATCCTTCTACTCAGCAGGGGGCTGCCGCGTGGGATTCCCCGCAGGCTACGCGCGAGTCACGTCTTTCACACCTTGGATCCAGTCTAAACTTTAGTAATAACTTTCTGTGATATATGGCCATTTGATAATTACAGTAATGGCTAGTTAATTGAATGATAGTTCAATGATATTAGCGTAGTAATGTAGTAATATCCTAAATAAAGTTGTTTATATATAAATAAGTTGTATATTTTTCATTTAGTATATTTGAATGGACGAGCCAATTACTAATCAAAATATTAAGACCCAAATTCAATTATTAAATAGTATAAAAATCTTGCTTTCCCTCGTCTAGTAATAATAATCGATGGTGACTTAATTGATTATTTCAATTGTGCTGATATCAATTAACCGATTAATCGCAATCATTACATTGATTAATCGATTAAGATAAAATTATAAAAAGGTCTAGTCTTTTCATTAAAATGGATTAGATAGATACTGCGATGACAGAAATACTGTATTCTCGATAAATTTATACGATAAAATTATCCAATAAAGAAAACGAATAACATTCTAAAAATGTTTATTAAGTGTATTTATTGAATTTGGATCAACATTTCAATTGACTTTCACGTATTAATTAAATTAAATTAACATAGATAAATAAAAGTTTTTAAAATGCGAACCAGTCAGCCTATTTCTCATGTCAGTAGCGACCAGGACATCGTTAGAAAGTAGTTTTTCAGAAGGATCCGATGTTGAAATAATTGACCTGTGTTTAATCGTCGCTTTATAATCATGTAATTAATGAAGTGTTACTCTCTTTGCTACAAACAAACAATCTAAATAAAACCATCCATAAACAACAAAACAAACAAACAAAACCACAGATTGTTGTTGTCGAATGAAACGTCAACCTATTTCTTCTATTTGAATTTGTATGTAATTACTCTAAGACTTGAAGTAAGTCTGGCAAATGACAAAGATATTGATCATACAGTCAACGTTATCAATTATATCTGATATAATTTATATAATTTAATAAATTATATATAATTTATAATAATGATCGAATATCGTGAAATGTCGTTTAATAAGCATAAAATTATCTATGTAAACATTATTTCAGTTTAAGTCTACGTCCGTCTACGTCAGGTCCTTACATTAAAGACTAACGAGGCATCGAAAACAGATGTCCTCTCTGACCTACACTCAAAATCCAGCCCAGGGCACAAAAGAGTGTTCTAATTTGTAAATCGGGTAGGAGAGATACCGGATCAGCCGGAGAGAACATCTGCGTCTCGGTTAGAAAGAGCAAGGCTGGCTTTGCCGTCTCCAAGTGGTAATGGATGGCATTAAAGTTTGAATGAAGTCCCCTGATGTTGCAGAAATGGGTAGATGTAAACTTCTACTTCACGCTAGTGTTCTGTGAGGTCGTGGTACCACCCCGGTTCAAGCCGGACCATCCGTGCGACAGCAATAGTTGCCACGTGGCTCAACCACTGTTAAAATATTACTGTATGTTGGACTTGTGAAGCGCTGTTATGATTTATGATAATAATGATAATAATTTAAGGTAAGAATATCACAGAAATGTTGGTTTGCACTGATGGGATTAAATAAACGCATCCAAAGCCATCTATTTAATTTGAAGTCGATTGCAGGTATCCAGGAGATGAAATAGTCACTTACCATCAAGTGGACTGTTAGTTAGTTGGTTTGTCACGTGAGTTTTATATAGAAATCGTAATAAGACAGCACACCGGTGAATCTCACCTGTGCATATCCAGGGCTGTTTGCTAGTCAATAAAATGACTTGGTGTGTAAAGTGCGCTATATACACTTATTTCTCACAACACATTTGCAAGTTTTTGAACTTGAAGTTCAGCATCGTAAAGCCGGGGTCGTTATCTTGAGGCGTGCAAGAAAAAGAAAAAAATGCTTTAAAACATTTATACATTCGATGACCGGTACGAGGCTGCTACTCGAGAATAGGGCGACCCCCCACTAAATGGAGTGACGACCTGGTAAGACATGCCGGAGGTCGATGGATGATTTATGCGATTGTTACCAACGTGAGTCTCAGTGTGATGTATTTTAGATGATAGAGCCACGCTGTAGCTATATTATGGTTGCAGCATGAATTGGTCGGCTCGACCGCGGTAGGACCACGCAAAATAGCAGCTTTATGGTGCTTGTGTGTGGTAAATGTAGAAAACGAGACATTCCATCTTAGTCTTGAGGTGTAACAACGAATCTGCATTTTGATACCTAATTTAGGATAGATGCAAATCTATGAGCCATAGCATCCACTAACTATCAGGTGGACTGTGTGCTCGTTTCTCACCCTTATTCTATAAAAAAGTGGTGTTTCAGGTTATATCTATTTTTATATAAGGTAACTTACCCATGCAAAAACATAGAAGATCTGATTGCAAGCTGTTTTACACATGGTTTCAAACATTGGCCATCCGTTGAACAGTGTTAGATATTTAGGTTTAGTAATAGTTTCTTTTTAAAGCCTGTTATTTTTTTCCTGTTTCGATTATTACGCCTCACTGCTAGTTCTTCTTTGTTTTAATATTATGTAGGTATTATGTATTATGTATTATTATTTTTCTTTTCTTTCTTTAAAAAGCCTTACTTCCATATAAAGTTTCTCCCGTATCGTGGAGACAGTTTACATACATAAATTGCACAAGTACCAACATCCAAACCCAGAACAATGATTTGTAGGTGATGTAGATTCGGGATCTTAATAGATGGCAATGTTTTATTTGATAATCGATTATTCCAACTGTACCGTATCAATCAATTGATTTATCGCAATCATTTTTATCGATTAATCGAATAAAAATCTAGTACTTTCGTTAAAACAGATTAGATAGATTTTTATAGAATAAAAGCGATATACGAGCACACAGTCCACCTGACGGTATGTGGATGCTGTGGCCCATAGGCATCTACATCTATCCTCAATAAAGACTCAAAATGCAGATGCGCTGCCACCCGTGAGGACTAAGATGGAATGCCACTTTACCAGTAAAAAGGTTCTCCGGTTCTCAACACTCACCATACGAAACACAGCAGTGTTAAGCTGCTATTTTACGCTGGTATTCTGTGAGAGCGCGGTCCTTTCCCGGTCAAGCCGACCCATTCGTACTATAACTATACTACAAATATAGCTGCTATAGCTATAGTACCCAAGTGTATACGCAAGTACAGGTGCACTCTCTATTCCACTCTATTGCACTTTTAGTGTCCGATGGGACGGTAAACCGTCACAACCGGAGAGAGATCAGGTGCAGGACCAACAGCTTCAAGCCACGGGGGTGGAACTTCCTGACTCCGGGCAGCTATTGAGAATTTCTCGACAGCACATCTGATTTTTTCATTGGACCGACCCGGGATTGGTACTCGGGACCTCATGATCAGCAGTCGTGTTTACGATCACTAAACCAAGGAGGCAGTCATCATATATGTACATGTATATATATATATATATATATATATATATATATATATATATAGGGTATTTTTGGAACGCTCCCGAAAACTAAAGTACACCTTTGATCATGGGTCACAAATAAATTCGATCCTGATGAAAAAAAAATCAACGTTTTATTAGCTTTATTCACGCGCCATCATGTTAGTACAGCTAAATGAAACGATAATTTCATAAAATATATCATGAAAATACTGAAACATAAAACCAGCAGTGGAATGACTGAATTTATATCACCTGACTGAAAGGTCAATGTACGCGCGAACGCAAATTCGCGCGGCCCGCAACTAGCGGGCCATACTACAATATCTAATAATTTACAACACTTGTCTAAATACCTAACTTATCTACTTAACCTACTATTTTGCCACTGTGCTTGTCTCCACTTAGCCACTTTAATCCGAATTTACAGGTTAAATAACCCAAATAACTGGTTCGATTCCCCGCTAATGAAAAAATACTTAAATGAAATGTAACCAAGGTTGGAGTCATGAGTTTTTATTCATCGTGTAGGTATGTTTATTATTCTCATGTATTCAGTTATGTACCTATTCAGATTAGTCTAGTACTAAGTTATTTAAAAAAAAATAGGTATGAAACAGCTTACCGCTCTAAATCCTCCGTGGTCTTATGAGATGCGGCTCAAATTGTGCTCCATTCATTTCAAGGTAGATTTGGGTGCAGGCGGGGCATCATCGTGTGGTCTTCGACACAGTCCGTACGTAGTTTCTCGAAAGCATCCACGATCCTTAGGCGCATTTCTTCAGCACTATCACATTCACGATTAAAAACCCTTTCATACATACCCCACAAAAAGAAGTCTAACGGAGTCAGATCTGGTGAGCGAGGTGGCCAAGCGTGTGGTCCTAGTCTGCCGATCCAGCGATCATCAAATAGCTCATTGAGGCGCTCACGGACGAACCTCACGAAATGTGGAGGGGCACCATCATGTTGGAACCATGTGCGGCGATATTCAGCCAACGATAGGTCGTTTAAAATATCAACCAACTGTTCATTTATAAAGTTTAGGTATCGCTGTCCGTTCAGTCGCTCTGGCAGAAACACTGGTCCCTTAAATAAACCTGCCCATACGTTAACCGACCATCGGGTTTGGTGCCCGGTTTGTCGAACAGCGTGCGGGTTAACCTCTGAATACACGTGTGTATTTCTTCGGTTCCACAGGCCGTTTCTGGTAAATGTCGACTCATCCGTCCAGATAATGTGCTCAATGGAACCAGGCACACGTTGTTGCTGGTATAATAACCAACGGCAGAAAACTCGTCGGCGGTCGTGATCGCCGGGAACTAAAGCTTGCACTTTGTGCAATTTGTATGGGCGCATTCGGTTACGCTTCAACACTTTGTGCACTGCACAGTATGCCACACTTGTTCCATCCCGACGTCTTAACAATTGATTTAGCGATACTTCGTGTACCTAGGTTCGGATACCTAACATGTTGCCGTATTCATAAGCACTATAAACGTACGCGTTAAGCATTATTAAAACAAAAAACGTAACAACAAGAATAATACCAACAGGTAATCACAAGTATTAACAATTTAATAAAGAAAACGATTGAACTGTCGCTCGCGCACGCGTGTACAAAATCAACACGGAACTGTTTCAAAAACTACAATTAATAACGAACCCCGACGAATAAACTGAAACCTACTGCGTCACAGCGTGAGGCGACACGAGCCGGCTGGGTTACATTCTGCCGTCAATATAAAGAAGGACGCAACTAACAAAAACGTAAAATGGAAATAAAAAATAAATTTATGAATTTTTCTTTCAGACCCCGTGTCTAAAGTATATTAAAAGGTATCTATATGAAAATTGAAATATGTACGTAGAGACATGAAGATTTTAAGGACGAACTTATTTTTTTGATAATTTGTTTATTTATTTAAATAAAACGAATTTTCCTTTTCATCTTAGATTAAAAAATACACCTGGCAACACAAAAACATCGAAGGAAAGACGCATATAACTATTTGCGTCTTCCTAACCTAATAAATAAAAAAAACTGCCATTCATTTAACATTTTTACATATTTTAGAAAGGTCATTTGAAGTTGAAAGGAAGCTAATAGTAATTTACTACTTTTTTCTTAGTAAATATTAGAAAAGCATTGGTAGTCAGACACAAAAAATAACAACCCGCAGCTCTTGAGTAATGATTTTAAAGGGGATATCATACAAGACTTACTACGATAATAATTAGAAATTAAAAATTTTGCACAACCGACTTTAATATAAATAATTAAGGATGACTCAAAAACTATTGGTCTGACCTCAATCAAATTTATATGGGACCACATGTGAAACACCAGCTCTTAGTAATAAGATATAAGCTCTTAATAATAAGATTTAGAATAAAAAGACAAGAATAATTGAAATTTAAGTAATCGATGCAAATATTGTTAAAGATGACGTAGCCACTGGTTAAATAAGTCTTTTCTTTTATGTTGAATTTGTATAAGTCTTTTCTAATAAAAAGATGTCATCTGTGATCAACAGTTACGTCTAAAATTCTTACGATAATTTCTAAAATATTGATATTTGTGAATATTAAAAAAATTTAGTAGATGCGCCTTCTTATCATGAGTCATGGTATATTTAACTCATTTATTCAAAAATTGTTAGATGCGCCCTTTTTTCTTACGACCGCAGCATTGTTTCGTACCGAGCTAGATACAGGTCGACAGCGGAGAGAGTGTGGGTACAGTCGCGTTCTAAAGTACTACATGGTATTGGGCTATTGTTTTATAATACTATAGTAATTAATTGTTTAATTGTAGAATCATAATAGGTGTCTGTTTCTTCTGCATATCAATGATATGTTGCTAACTGGTAACATTCATTGCTATGCGGATGACAGCACTGGTGATGCTCTATACACCGGCCGGGCCAATATTTCTCGGGAAAACGTCGCCGAGTACCGGAACAAACTTGTGTCTGAAGTCGAGTTTTTGCTGGACAAAGTCTCGGATTGGGGGCGACTAAATCTAGTCCAGTTTAATCCTCAGAAGACACAAGTTTGCGCGTTTACCGCTAAAAAGAACCCCTTTGTCGTATCTCCTCAGTTTCAAGGCACTCCCCTTCTTGCCTCAGCCAGTATCGGTATCCTCGGAGTCGACATATCGAGTGACGTGCAGTTTCGTGGTCACTTGGTAGAGAAGGCCAAATTGGCCTCTAAAAAGCTTGGCGTGCTCAGCAGAGCGGGACAGTATTTCATGCCGGCACACCGCCTGCAACTTTACAAGGCGCAGGTTCGGCCTGACATGGAATACTGTTCCCATCTCTGGGCAGGGGCTCCCCAGTGCCAGCTCCTTCCACTTGACCGCATCCAGCGCAGAGCGGCTCGAATCGTCGACGACCGAGCCCTTTCCGATCGGCTCGATTCATTGGCACTGCGAAGAGATGTTGCATCTCTTTGCATTTTCTTTCGCATCTACCATGGGGAGTGCTCTGAGGAATTGTTCGGATTAATCCCAGCCGCCAAATTTCACGAACGAACATCGCGGCAGAACTCCCGATACCATCCACACCATCTGGATGATTGGCGGTTCACCACTGTGCGATTTAGAAGATGTTTTCTTCCTCGCACAACTTCCTTGTGGAATAGTTTACCACCAGGGATTTTTCCGGACCGATACGACTTAGGGACCTTCAAGAAAAGAGCCTACTCCTTTTTAAAAGGCCGGCAACGCATCTGCAATTCCCCTGGTGTTGCGGTTGTTCATGGGCGGCGGTAGTCACTTACCATCAGGTGAGCCGCATGCTCGTTTGCCCCCTCTCCTATAAAAAAAAAAAAAAAAAAAAAAGGTGTTTTACTAGTTACTTAGAACTTTGGAAGAGGTGGGAATTAAAATTGGATAATGTTTACTTGAGCATTATTTGTTATTTCTATCGTAAAATATAAATTAAGTAGTTTGTAACAAAAAAAACTTAAGCTAAGGGTGACACGCCGTCCATTATGACGTCTTGGGTCACATGAAAGTCAGATGTTGATGGTGTGTTCGTGTTACTGGATGCTACTTCATCATCACTTTCATCTTCGCTTGAGCTTCCGTCATCAGGTCGATCACATGGTAATTTTTTCGGTATTCTCCCTCAACACTTTACTGCACAATTTTCCCCATTCACCTTCTCCTATCATATTTACCTTTTCGTTCACTAGTTTAGGCATAAAACAATAGATATAAATAATTTTTGTTTCCTTCCTTTTTAAAACATCGTCGCGAGTCGCAAAGTAAGCTGTGTATGCGACTGTATTTTTGGAGCGAACAAAGCGCGGGAACCAATAGCATGCAGGCACAGTAATACTGGCGGATTGTCCCCCCGTCGCGCTCCTTCGTACCTATATGTGATAAATCGCTCAGTGCCCAAGTTCAAGGCCAGCGTTCTTTTTTCACCGTTCGCGCGTACATTAACCTCCATTAGTCAGGTGATATCAATTCAGTTTCCACTGCTGGTTTTATGTTTCAGTATTTTCATGATTTTTTTTATGAAATTATCGATTCATTTAGCTGTACTAACATGATGGCGCGTGAATAAAGCTAATAAAACGTTGTAAAAATATGATTCTTTTTCATCAGGATCAAATTTATTTGTGACCCATGATCAAAGGTATACTTGGTGCTGTCGCCTGTCTTAGTTTTCGGGAGCGTTCCAAAAATACCCTGTATATATATATACATATAGACTTATACATATATATGTGTGTACGTCGGATATATATATATATATATATATATATATATATATATATATATAGAGTACAGTGTAGAGTACCATATATATATATATATATATGGTACTCTACACTGAAACACAGTAGTGTTAAGCTGCTATTTTTGTGAGAGCGCGGTCCTTCCCCGGTCAAGCCGACCCATTCGTACTACAACTATACTACAAATATAGCTGCAGCATGACTCTACCACGTATATAATGCTGCAATGTGTGCAATACTGTATTCTCCATAAATTTAAATAATAAAATTCGTAAAAAAATATTTATTAAAACTTTAATAACCAAAACTAAAACGCTTTATTTACGGCGGGTATCTTGTGAAACACACGTACATAATATATTGCTTTGCTCCATTATCAGTGAATATTTTCGGTTTAAATCTCGAATATCTAATGTTTTTATTTCTACCGTTTAAAATCTGTAAAAATTTACCTTAAAACGTTGTACTAGTGAAAGCAAGTTAATTTGTAAGCATATAAATTTTACTTAATTATTGCATGCTTCTTTTCCTGGCCTGCGACAACTCGTGCAGCGGTCGCTAGGATCTAAGCACTTTCATCGTTTCAGTTTACTGAACGGTTTAGGATATTTTTTTTAAATAACCGATATATCTTCTGCTGGGAAATATGCTAGTTATCAGATAAAAATAACAAATAAACAATTTATGTGTTGTAGTTCATGTAAGCTAAAATATGATTTGGACTGTGCCACGATTAGTGAAAAAAACCTTCATTTCGTTAGACAAAGAACGCAAAGCTGTGTGAATATGTCACGCATGTTAAAATCGTCAAACTAAGAGCGATAACCAGAACACCCCCATTTGCGGAAACACAAAGTTCTCGGAAGGCTATATGGAGACGGAGACAGAAGAACTGTTAAGTAATCCAAATGTAAAAGTGCACACCAAATCTAACAGGTAGGAGATCAGCCTATTACCAGCAACTTTAGAGGAAATCGGTGATTTACTTGATAATAAACTATGGACCACGTTACCAATTTTTCGCAAACTGCGATCAGCTATTCAGAAGGACATCAAGGCAATGATATCTCAGGAGATTAATTTAGCTCTTTATAAGTTCTAAAACGAACTCACGCAAGCTACTGACTTTTTAGTTGCTGAACAGATGGATTTGAAAGTAAAAGTAGAACAAAAAGATAAAGAAATTAAAGAATTACAGATCCAGACTTTAAAGCTTCAAAAATAAGTTTATACCCTTTATGGTCGACTGTCTACCATTGAAGAAATCTGTGGTGATAATAACTTGGAAATTAACGGTATACAGGAAAAAGCCAGCAAGGATCTGTTTAGA